GATGCATTTTCTAGCCCGAAGAAGGATAGATCTTCTGGATATGTATCTGCCATCCATACTAGCTACAATGAACCCAAAATCAAAGTTGTTGGAATTGGCGGTAGTGGGTCTAATGCTATTAATAGAATGATTGAGAGCTCAATGAATGGTGTTGAATTTTGGGTAGTTAACACAGATGTTCAAGCCTTGGAAATATCTCCAGTGCTCCCAGGGAACCGTTTGCAAATTGGCAAGGAGCTAACAAGGGTCTTGGTGCTGGTGGAAAGCCAGAGGTTGGCATGAATGCTGCCAATGAAAGCAGAGCAGCAATTGAGAAAGCACTTCATGGTGCAGACATGGTATTTGTCATGGTAAGCTCAGGTTCTATTTTCATGTACATTGTCATCACTATGTCCTAGAAACTTTGAATAACTACCACAAATTGTATTTTGATTACTTAAGTGAATTAAGAATCATAAACTCATTCTGGTAGGATATCCTAGTAGTGGCTTTTGTATATTATTTTACCCTGGGCTATATTTAAAACTGCAGGCTGGAATGGGTGGTGGCACTGGTACTGGTGGGGCTCCTTTAATTGCAGGCATAGCAAAGTCAATGGAAATCTTGACTGTTGGTATTGTTACAACACCATTCTCTTTTGAGGGAAGAAAGCGGACTATTCAAGCTCAGGAAGGAATTGCAGCTCTTCGAGATAATGTAGACACACTCATTGTTATTCCTAATGACAAGTTGTTGACTGCAGTCCAACAGTCCACTCCAATAACTGAGGCATTTAATTTGGCTGATGATACACTAAGGCAAGGTGTTCGTGGTATCTCTGATATAGTCATGGTATGCATAGGCAAATAAAATATTCAAATATCTCTGGACTCCCAATAAACATATCTTGTATTGTGTCTGCTATTGTCTGATTATTACTGGTGGAATTCCTCTGTAGGTTCCAGGTCTAGTTAATGTTGATTTTGCTGATGTGCGTTCTATCATGAAAGATGCAGGTTCTTCTCTCATGGGTGTAGGAACTGCAACTGGTAAGTCTGAGAATCTCAGTGCCTTATAACTTGAGTTCAAGTAGAAATGCAGCCTTTTAATTATTTGTGCATGTAAATATCTTATATGACTTAACTTTCATTTTTTTTTCAGGCAAGAGCAGGGCAAGAGATGCTGCAATGAATGCCATCCAGTCACCTTTGCTAGACATTGGTATAGAAAGAGCTAGTGGTATTGTGTGGAATATAACTGGTGGAAGTGATTTAACTTTATTGGAGGTGGGTCACTTCTTGGGTTGTATTCTGGGAACTTTACTGAAATTGGAAGGGTTGGGAAGAGAAGTTCAGGAAGGGGCTTAAGGGCAATTTGAAACTGCTGATCAAAAAACAAAAAATGGGCAGTTGAAACTTTTTATCTTTTCACCCTTTAAGCCTGATTTTCTTTGATGGGAAAATTTTATCACATTCCTCAGAGAACTTTTATTTTACTATTTACACTATCCTTCTTACCAAGCTCGCTAGGTGACCATGCTCTTTGAACTGCAGGTTAATGAAGCAGCTGAGGTCGTTTATGACCTTGTTGATCCCAGTGCAAACTTAATATTTGGAGCAGTGATAGATGAATCACTAACTGGTCAGGTAAGTTTAGTAAGTTGGAATAGTAAAAGAATAGAAATTTTTGATAGTTCTTGTTTTGAGGAAATGATAACTGTCTAGTGGGTATAAAGGGAAAGAGAAAAGGGCATGTTATAGAATTAAGCACATTATTATTAAGCTATCTGAAATCTTAATGAAGAAAACAAGGTGATACTGCTTTTGTCTAATCTTCCTGCCATTGTTTGGACATGAAAAAATGCTTGTCGATTCTTGTGTTTAAGGGGAAGCTTGGTGGGACCATTAATAATTTAATACTACATAACTTAAATGTATTTTACCTTTGCTAAGTAATGTTTTGATTCCTATTTCATGGATTGAAGGAGTCTAGTCTTTGAGCCATATATTTGAGATCTTTTCTGTCTTCAACCTTCTACGAACATATTTAGGCATTTTCCATACTGTTCAAAGATGGCTTTCTTTCGCTTTTAGGTCAGCATAACTCTGATTGCCACCGGGTTCAAGCGCCATAGTGATAAGGAAACCAGGGTAAGTCTCACAAATCTACCCCGTTCTCTTCACACAATTTTCATTCTGTTTGTAATATAATATCCTTGATCTTGGAATATACATGAACTCAGCTAGCACATGGTGATGTTTCGCGTGGAACCACTGGAGGTCCCTCTTTCGCCAATGGTGATTCATCAAATATCCCCGAATTCCTAAGGAAGGAGCCCCCATTCAAGCTACCTGATCTGAGATTATTTTCTTGAACTTAGTCTTCCCTCCCTCTTGTTTTGCTTTCATTAAGCTTACTTAAGCTTTTCTTCTTTGGTGCTGATTTGGACATGACTTCTTAATAATAAGTTGTAAATGTACATTCATTTGGTTTAGGAAACACTCCAATTTTTGTGTGACCTGATGTTATTTTTATTGAAAATACTATAATTACAATACTTGTGGGATTGTAAGTTTATAACATAATGTATCAACGTCATATCTAACTAGGGGTGGTAATTTCTCCTAATTCAGTCTTGCGTGGATCCTTGCTATGAGGGCGGGCAGGGATGGGGAGTATTTTCCCCTATCAATTTATGGAAGGAGTTTTTCCCACTCCGCAAGCTTATGTGGGATCTCTATTCTTGTGAAAAATTTTAAAAAAATATAAATTAATTTTATTTTAAATTTAACCCAACTTAATACATCATAATACATTTCAAGCCTAACTCAATAAAAATTAAATTTAGTCTAATTAATTTTACACAACCTAACCTAACCTATATCTAAGTGTAACCCTAACCTTACTCATCACACTTAATTCAACCAAAGCTATTGCTGACAACACTCATTCTTTCTCACTTCTCAGCTTCTCACTTGCAAACTTTCTCTCAGACTTT